GGGCTGCTCGGGCCGCCCTCGCCGAGCCCCCGGCACGCAAGTCCTCACGGGCGGTGACCTCTCCGCGCCCTTCTCCGTGGATTCAAGAACTTCGCTTCCATAATTTCGTCTCCCAGAATAGCACTACAGCAAAAATTAAGTCTCCTAATCCCACCCTGTTCACGGACAATTCTGAGCCTAGCACATACCTGACACACACGACTGATTTACCTTAGCAGACTTCTTCCTCGTCCCACCACCTTACGTGCAACAGGTCGGTGGGATAAAATGCATTTTCTAAAATGCCCAGTCAAATAGCTGTAAAGGATCGAGAGCTTTTTACAAAACAGATGGCTAGTTAACCTCCTTGTGTAAAGTATAGCCTTTAAAACAATCAGATAACAGATACATTGCTGAAGCTGTGGTCCTAAAATTCTGGAAATTTTCATAGATATGGGTAGAATCTTTGCATAAGAAAGCTCAAGTAAGATGGAATTTAGAATAAAATCAGAGAGAAAAAAAATAAAGACAGAGAGCACTCAAATATGCAGTAAGAGATGAAGATGAGACAGGAGATTAGAAGATTCAATTTATCTAATATACCAAGGTAGAGGAGGCTCACAGCAGCATTTCTGACTGGTGCACTCCTTCCCACAGCAACACCACTTGGGTTCCTTAAGGCAGGCATAAGCAGTAGGAGAGCATTATCACTGTTGGTATTGCCACACACTTTTTACACTAACAACTTCCAAAACAGAAAAGTTGAGGGAAATGTGAAAGACAACAGGAGCATTCGTTCACTAGTGCTAGGACATAGATTACCATTTGTGGTATGTTGGCAGTCACAGACTTGTACACTTACATAACATTCTCTCCCCAAATTACAGAAAATTATAACATCCTACTGACACTGAACAGAACCTTGAAGTTAAGATCTAAAATCAAGCCAATTTCACGAGACCTAAACGCACAACAAAAACTCACTCCAATATTTTTTCAATTAAGTTCTTCCTCAAATGCAATGACACTTGAGCTATTGATGAACTAGGAAAGCTAGCAAATCTTGAACAGCTGATGGCACTCTGCTTTTGTCATTGTCAGTTGTGCAAAACCAGGTTAAGTATTGAGGGCAGAGAAGTACCAGAAACATTTCAGGCACAGTGACCGATTCCAGAACTTCACTATCACAAGTAACAATCTATGGAGATTTCCCATAAAATATTTCAGGCGCAATCTTTCTTCAAAATATACCTGTGGGAGTGAGGGGAAGAGCAGAGGGAAGAGAAAGGAACCAAAAAACCAACAGACTGTGATCCCATCTTGGACACTAAAATGCCTCACTAATGTTCTGTGCAAGAAAAATGGATTTATGGTGAGTCCTGTAGTTACATTTTTGTAACATACATCAGAGTGGTAGATATTTTTTACAGGGAAGGATTGTATAGTACTTTATTAGCTTATCAAGTAGAAGATGCTACAGAAGTGCACACTATTATTTTCCTCATTGCATAAAGGAAAATGTCTTGCTTCTCTATCTAAATCATACATTCCACAGTTCAGGTAAAAGACATCTAAAGTCATGCCAAAATTTCAGATCAGTTAGCACATAAAATGGTCTCTATTGACTGATTCTAAAAACCTTAGGAAATATTCAGACACTGTATTTACATAGAAGGTAATGTCATGATTCATTGTCATGTTTTATGAATAAGAACCAGAAAAGGAGTAGTAATTTCCTGAGTAACATGACTTCTTGCTAAGTAATGGGACTGGTAGCTGGGCAGCCCTGCATAAACTGTGATTACTCTTGCATGAGTCATTGCATCCTTTTCCTAGGAGTTTGATTCTGTCCTCAGATGAAATCTAATATTGGTCTTTGTCCTCACGTATGACAATTTACAAACCCCATCCTTGTACATATTAGATGCAAAGCTGTTAAAGAGCATTTGCCTGCAAATTCTAAGAATGAAGAATTCACAGGACTGCCTACACTAGCTACATTAGTTGGGAGTGAGTTTGAATTAAACTAGATTAAATTACATGTTGTAGAAGTCCTGCTAAAGACGCCAAGAAACCAGCCGTGTGCTGGCCATTGCTGGCCACACATCACACACTGCTGTGGCCTTTTATGGTCACCCTTGAATTCTGCTTTCTGAAGGAAGGGAGTATGTACAGATGCATCTTTCCACCTAGTGTAAAGACACCTATACAAGCAGCTATCTAAACAGATGAGTGAGAAGGAACATAGCTGGGACCTAGGTCCTAAGCCCTGTGATGCTGTAACTTGCATACCTTATTCGCACCAGGAGTTAGGTACTTGCTAGTTCTTGAGAGACCATTTTCAAAACGTGCAGGGTTTATGCTAACAAAAGAGATAATGAGACAAAAGAGGATTCACTGGAATTTTTCCATTTGACCTTAAACATCAGAATTCTAGTCTTCCTAAAATAACCAGAAGAAAATATATCTACTCTAAAAGCACTGCTGTGCAGCTGCAATGATAAAATGCAGAAGTAACTACACAAGATGAGGACATGGTATGCATGGATTGCTCACGCAGCAGTTCTTGTAGATTCCCTGATAAACAAAAGTCAAAGCAAGTTTTTACTGTAGACTTGTCTTTGAAGAGAAGGGACCCAAACAAACAAAATGCTACATTCCCTCAACTCCTACAGATGTCACACAGAAAAAAATAATGATCAGCATAACTGTCAGCTAGGAAATCAAGTATTTTTGCTGGAAACCATCAAATTAATTGAAGATATATCAGGCCAAATTAGAATGACAACACAAAGTGAAAATGCTCCAGTACTTGAAATCTGACAATATTTAGTTTAAAAATTATGAGTTATGGCAACTGTGCCTTCTAATGTCCTCCCAACCCCAGATGCCAACTGAAACAGACTAGTCAGCAGCTATCCAGACCGCCATAATAAAGCTACCAGCATCCAGTCTTGCTATTTGCTCTGTCTTAGGTTTGGAGACACGAGGTCTTTCCAAAACTCCCAGAGCTATCTGTTATGAGCCAGAGTCAAGAAGCCTCATGATCCCTAGCCTCAGAGAAGTTTGCAAGCAGAAATGTCCCATATCTGATCATCCTGGAAATAATACTGTAGTAAAGCAGGAGTGTTTGAGGAGTTAGATAAACCTTAGCTCATTCAGTGACAAACTGGAGCATGAACATGCCCTGGCTTGCTGGAGTTTCTGGCTACAGCACATTTAATTTTTGCAGACTTTACAGACTGGGTATGTATAATACCAGATGTCTGATCTTCATTTACTACTGGCTAAAAACTATAGTTCTAACAAATCAGTATTTTCCCATAGGAATTGGTTTACTATTAAACTCCAATTTGCAGCTCACTGTTGTAAATCTTAAGAAACTGAGACTTTTGGAAGGATTTGAAAAAAGAAATTTCAGTGTAGCTATCAGAAGTTCTCAGAAGTTCTCAGAACTACAGAATTCCACATTTTGAGTCAGCTAGTATTTATCAGCCACTGCTAGAACCAAAAATCTAAGTACAGCCCTTGTCAGATATGACACAAGAAAACTGAGTATCATCTTTAACAAAAGATAATTAGTAATTTTAAAAAATTAGTAACATAAATTATTGCATATATTCTGTGACAATAACATGTTCGTTCCCCCCGCCTTTAATTTGGTATTGAAAATCACATCAAGCAACTTGTGCTGACAGAGATTAGACAGATCTGTTTCAGAAGTTTGAAATATGTGGGTAGAGCTGCACTAAAACCAGTTTTCTTTTAGTGACTAGTTTTGGTAAATGACGTTATTACACTGGAAGACGTCGTCGGAAAGAAGCTGGACAAGGTTTTAGGGGTGCCTTTTTACCAGGGGGTCTATTTTCCTCTCTTTGCTTCTAGCAGTGGAAGAACTGTTACTGTGGAGCTAAGATTTTCTTGTAAGCTTCTGTTTTTCCATGTTTCTGTGAAAAGTCTCAAATACAAGAGAATTAACAGCCTCTCTTTGAACATGACACGCTGGGGAGTTTTTCATTTAGAACATAACTGATGTAGAGACAAGGATAAACAAAAGGCCAGAAAGCAGCAATAAATTATTTTGGAACTTTCAACAGATTAAATGGTACAGAGGTGTGTACTTACAACTTTGTAACAGCATCTACATTTCTGACCTCCTCAGACAGAAATGGCAAAAACCTTCAAATCCTTGTATCTCTAAGTGTGAGAGCAAAATAGACCACACAGGTAGCAATACTACCTCTAACTGTTATGGAGATGAAAGTGTTCAAAGCAGCCTCCTCTCCATCTATTGGCAAAGCTACCAGAATACTTTAGCACTAGTCTGGAATCTGCCAGGTTGACACTACATACCACTGTTCCAAAGCACTCAAGTTGTGTTTATAGTGTTTCAGAGAGAAGCAAAAAAGCCTAAACGGGTAAAAGGGTTTTATCTAAGAGTGACAAGGGCAAGATATTTGTGTTTGACAAGGCAAAAGCAGTCATGGCTTAATGCTAATTGTCTTGGCCATCTAATTAAGCATATGGGGGAGTCCCTCAGTTATTTTACACCTTCTTTGAAGATGGGCTTGTCTCTACATTGTCCCAAGCACAAGGAAAGCTCTGTACTGATTGCTCATCTTCCTTCTTAATAATGCACATTGTAGGTCTTCTATATAATGAATGACAAGGAGAAGACCCACATGGCAAGAAAGCACTTCATATTTAACTTTACACTACTGCAGCAGGGCAAGAAATACAACATATGCATAAACAGTTATTTAAGAATTTAAATGTAAAATATCTTTTCCCCACCAAAAGCAGGAATTTATGGCATATTAATTACATTCACTCCAATTCAGGTCTTGCGTATTATTTTATATTCACCCATGATAAATTATGTCAATGCATATATTTTATTTAAATCCATTAAGGCTGGCCTCCTCTGTATGACATACAATTATAAAA